CAACAGGCGCAATGAAGTTATCTACTTCAAATATCGAAAAATACAAAATAGATATAGTAGCAATACAAGAATTAAGATAGACAGGAGTAGGCAATAGTTGTAGAGATAAACATGAGTATGAAGTGGGATTTGTTGTAAAAAACGACATGTTACTGTACATCAAAAAGTTTGAAGCGCGTAATGAGTGATTATGCTGGTTATAGATAGAATGTAAATGGATAAGCGTATCACTGATCAATTGCTACGCACCGACGGAAGAGAAGAAAATATAGTTAAAGAAGAATCTTATAGCCAGCTAGATAAACGATAGTGAATCGTTTTACGATTCTCATCTAGAATAAGATGAGAGAAAATTAGCTTTAGTAGAAATAAAGTTTCTATTGAAGATTTGTGGTCCTAAAATAAATAATGTAACACAAAGGTATGAAATAAGGTCAATGAAAAAGTATACAATGCCTTTGAAGAACCAAATATGATTGGGGTAAAAGGTCCAAAAAACTAAGCTGGCTAGATCACATACTAAGGTTTAACATGTTTGCAAAGGAGATCCTAAAATGGAAATCACTAAGAAAGAGGTCCTTAGGCAGATCTAAACAACGATGGTTTGATAAAGTCTCGAAGGATCTAACAGCGCTAGGAGTTAAAAACTACAGGGAGGTAGCAATGGATAGAGAGAGATGGAAGGAAGTATGTGTTGCAGCAATGGGCCTTAATGGCCTTTAAAGCTGATAAAAAAATAAATAAATAAATAAAAATAAATGTATAGGAATAAAAAGTAATCGCAAAAATCACGTACGTTGACTGATGTACATTATTATTATTTATTACGCGCATAATTTGTCCGTTATAACTAGTTTAAACGAGACAGTGTGTAGAATAATATTATTTTTCTTAAAATACTAAAAAAGACCAATCGATATTTGCACAAATAAACAAATAGTTGTATGATATATAATATATATAAGATTATTATTATTATTATATTATATATATAAGAGTAAAAATGTTTAATACACATTCGATTATTAGAAACCCTTACAATGAATAATAGTAATTTATTAATAATTTTATCAATTTTATTGTTCAACGCTTATCAAAAATTCTCAAATTTCATCTTCTCATCATTCAATCAAGTTGACATCTACAAAAAATATTTGAAAAATGTATGAAGAATTAAAACTGAGTATTTTGATGATAAATGAAAATACCTTATTTAAAATTAAATTTACTAGAACAAATATAGGCTTATTATTTTGATTTCTAATTGAACTTAAAAATAAAAATAAATTTATTTTATTTTCAAAATGCCAAATGATTTTCAATTTATTAAAAGTAATGCGATGAAGGAAGTGAAAACAAAAAAAATTAATTAAGTCTGACAACACGTACAAAGATTAATATATTATATGAATTTATTATATTGTTTGAAACTAGAACACAATAATGTTAATGCACATTTTAAGCAGTAGTAGTAGCTATAATAGTTGTTTATTATATAGCTTCCATCATATTATTGAGTTGCATTACGTAGGAAGTAGGTAGATATTTATTAATTTATTACTGAAATGGTAATAATAATGATTATAGATAGTATTATTTTATGATTAAATAAAATGAAACACGCATGTTCCTATATACTATGTACGTAGTACGTAGGTACATATTTTGTTTGTAAATTTGTTCCCCCATTGTTATTAGTTTAAACCAATAAATAATTACGATAATTAATGTTATTTAAACAAAAGTAAATAGTTTATTTTTTTAGCAATAACAGTTATTAAAAAATTTACAAATATCTGACTATTTTTATTTTTATGATATATTTCTAACTCATAAGTAATAATAATAAGAATAATAATTATTATAGAAAAATATCGCTATTTTCGTTTGGAAAAAATATTGTGTGATGTCAGAAAAGTATATGGTGAGGTGGTAAATGAATGGCTTAAAATCTTTTTCTATTTTAGATGTATTTTTATGCAGCAACCCAGTTAAAGTTAATTCGAGCAATGAAAAAACTTTTTTTATGACCACTCTATACATGAAAAGGCACTTGATAGGACATATACTCGTTTATTATATCGTAGGTTTCAATGTCAATTAAATAAATAGAATTAAATAGTTTTATTTTTATTTTCACAAAAGAAATATATTGTAATATACAAAAGGCGAATAACATAAAAAAGTAAAATTTTATTTCAAGTTAAACGATTCTTAATTTTAAAATAGTAAAAATAAAATTAATAAAACCAACTTTTTTTATTTTAAAGGAATTAAATATATACAAATAAGTAATTAATACACACAGTTTATAAGTTATATAAACAAAAAAATGTTTTACTTCTATAAAGTTCGATAAATATTCAAAACAACAATAATAATTAATAATGATAACAGTAATAATAACAATATTTTTATTACTTATATACGAATGGAAGATTATTCTATAATATTTATGATATACGCGAAAACGATAAAACACCCTGGAATGTAAAGTTTATATCTATTTTTAAAATCCATAAGGATTGGAAAATCAATTAAATCAATATTCAAATTTAATTTCTAAAAAATAGTTCAACATATTTGAAATGTTCAACAAAGTATGAAATATTAATGTTATTTTATGAAATTATATAATATAATAGGAATTTATTAACGTTGTGGAACAAATATTTTCAGAATATTATACATCAGTATTTTAAAATCGTTCATATGATTACACCATAAAATATTTAGTTTGAAATATTCAATCCAAAATTTTAGGATTATTTAATGGTTAAACTAGTGAAAAATGTTTAACTAAAAGATTAAACTGTTTTTAATGTATAAATATAAAATGGTATGAGTTATTTCTTTGATTGATTTGATAAGTTATTGGTTTGATTATATTTATCTGATAATAATATGCTTAACAATAATAATATTAATAATGTGCTTAACCGATATAAAATAAAAAGTAATTACACGATTTTTTAATTTAAAATGTTACATTTACAATTTATATATATCTTTGTACAGTAAGAAAATTAGAAAAACAAATTAAAAACAATGTGCATTATGAGTTCATCCAATGACAGAAATCCTATAAAAAAATGAATGTAGGAGGTGTTGCTTTGGGAATGTAAAATACGATAAAATATACTTTTTAAACTGCTCAATTTTCAAAATATTTATTATAATTTTTAACAGTGGCTGATTCGAAAATAAAGTCATTAAAAAAATTAACGAAAAATGGTATCATGGCAATATGATAATAATAAAAGTCATCGAATAACAATAAATTGAATTTTTTACTAACAGAAGCAGATAGGTAAATAAAAAAAATTAATCACGAAACATACAAAATTTAACGGTGATATTTTGATGTTTTTTTTTTTTTTTTTAATTAAAATTTTCCATACAGTTAATTTCGAAGAAGTTACACATTTTAGAATATGTGCAAAATTTTTTTTTATTTACTTAAACCTATTATAAATAACTTACAAACATATACCAAGGAAAAAAACTTAATTTAAATTACAAATTATAATACAATAACAACATGAAATCAATATACGAGTAAAATAGTATTGTTTAAACTACATATAATTTAATAAAATATATACTTACTAGTAGTATAATCATCTTATAACTATGATGTAAGTATAGCACTATTATGTAAGTATAGTAGTCTAATCTAAATTACAATAACTGTCATCATTAATAGTCTTAAGAGATCAAATGTTGTTAGTGATTATAATTTAGACACAGATAATAATAATTAACCCGATATTGTACTTAACACACTAAATATTCCAAAATGTTTATTTCTATAGAAGTCACAAACACAGAAAACTTTGATGTTGATCCATATACAAAATCAGATTGTATTGTATTTCCATGTACTTAATTTAAGCGGATATTAATACTTAATAACTAAATCAAAAGCGTCTATGACAGGTTTAAATTGTAGTACACTAATTTGTAGCTCTATTTACGAAACGGTAATTAATTAATTTTTCATCTAAAGTAGAACATTATGTATGTATAAAGATATTTATATATATATTTAGTATCATTTACATTTTTTTTTAATTTTACCGATATTTTTTTACCATAAAATAAAACTGATATTGTATCAAGAGTATCGTGAGAAAAAAAACATATTGAATATAGTATTATGGTGATTTGTCTGTGTTTGTGTATTTAGCGGAGAATATAAGAGATGAAACGGAATATAGTTGATCGGTAGAGAAAAGAGTAAAATATTCCGAATGTAATAGTACCTTTGAGAATGTAAAAGACGTTTCGCATATGAGTTGAGAATTACAACTGGGAAAACTCTAGGTAAATATGGACGACGACTCGCGTGGGAGTAAATGATACGGAAATTATCACGCGGTATGCAGTTCCGCCGCGTTTTATAATATTATCTGACGCGTATTTGTTCGGAGCAATTATTATTGTTTGTATGTATAAGTAGTTGAAATACAACGTTTTTTACCCTTTTATCTCTACTCTCCTTCCCCCATAATTTTATTTATTTACCTTGGACCCAGAGAAACTTTTTAACAGCGACTATCTCTGCATCCGTATTACATGTTTTCGTGCGCACAAACGACCACGTGTGTATGAAAGTACATTATCACTATAACTATGCCAACGGATTTCGTGCGCAGACGACGGATTGTGGAAGTAAAAAATCGATTAAAAATGATTGGTGAACGATGAACGTTGTACGATGACGATAACATTTTGACGGCAAATATTGATTGAGCAAAATTTGTTCGAAAAATATTTTTGAAAAAAAAAATCATTATATTACATAGTATTCGATATAGGGACAGAAACCGAATCGAAAAAAGCGGTTATGGAAACGGAATATTTTAAAATGTAGAAATCGAAACCTTTATATCGGTAAATTAAATACCGGAACAGAACCGGTATTTTTAAATTTTTAAGGTTCTTTTAGGTTCCAAAATAAAATAGTTTTATTTAGCATGAACTATAAGTTATTACTACTTTATTTATAAATAAACAGGGATCCATTCTCATAATATTTATACCTAGAAATATATAAAAAATCGCATTCTGGATAAGTACCTATTTAAGATTATTATACTTCTGAAGTGTTTATTACATGTATATTTATCACAAAATAGAATTATTTGGAAATATCTTTACCAGTGAAATACCATAATTAAAATCAACTCAACATTATATTGTCTTCGAAATAAAGCGATGATAATAATAAAATAGATAGTTATATTCTGTTCGCCGAGAGAACGGAACTGGATAGCGATCAAAACTCGTCTATTTATGCGTATTCCTAGCACTTTTCAGCGCGATCGTTTATGCTCGTTCACATATTGGTAGCCCCACGTGGTAGGGAAAATCAGAGATGGAGACGGCAGAGTCAACGCGCTAAAAAGTGGTGAAAATGCGATAACTAGTTGCTCTCGGAGAACGGAGTATAGTGTGTAATTATGGCAAAACGATGCGTAAGTGAAACGTTTTGTCAATCGAAAATAATATTATGGTGACTGTAATTTTTGATTTGATAATAGTACCACTGTGTTTTGTATAGTTCATAGGAGGTTACGTTGGTTTGGTGCAATATATTGTAAAATCATTTTTCGTTTACTACAACAATATTACTATTTTAATGCACTATAACAAGTGGACGATGGTATATTATAGTATGCTCACCAGATTAGAAATAATTTTATATTTTATTAATAACAGAAACTGGTACCCTTTTTTTTTTTTTTTAACAAAGAATCGGAATAGTTATTTTATTTTCTGAGAACCTGTACCGGATCCGGTGGCAATAAATTCAAACGGTTCCGGTTCCTGATTCGATTATAATATATTGTCATTATTTACAGACTATGGTTGACGAATCCGAACGGTAATAATGATTTTTTTTTTCGAAAAAATTACGTTGTTGTTTTTAAACACCAGTTTTTCATTTAAAATAAATACTATAATTTATATATTCAACACGTGAACTGCAACAAACGTAGAATATTATACTTTCAATTTTTCATCCGGTTGTTTATACAGCAGTTGTTTTGAAAATAAAAATAAAACAAAAATACATGTGTGTGCGTGTTCAAGAAACGACGCAGGTCTTGTCGTCAGGTTTTTTCTCACTTTTTTCTTTCTGCCGCATTAGCTTCTTGCAGATTGCATCTGAACACAACAAACATATTTTTACAAAAACAACAAAATAAATGTCATCTTTATAATGTCATTGGTCTTTTCGACATTTATTCGGTGAATATCTCCCACCCTAATGGGGACCGTTGGCGAATATTATGCATATGTTAGTTCACGGTTAACTAATTCCAAGGGGATAATAATTGAATACAAAATTTACCGGAAACACACATATCCATCGGTCGTTAATTTTTAGATCCGACCTCGTTTTGATTACTTTTGTTTATGAGTTATCGGTAGGCAAAACTTGGTGAACCTACCTACTATGCAATAATAATAATAATAATAATAATAATAATATTTAAACGATCGTAGGAGATTGCTGCAGAGTAGTCGATTTCGTCATAATGTTCGCGTTAAGATTTTAGATTAGTTACTCTTGTATTATTGTAATCATATATATATTTTTTTAATCGCAACGAAATAATAATGATTGTAATACTCATTAAATATGCTATCTGACACACATTTAGTGGTTAAGTATGTTGTCTATAAACTTATTAAGATTAGGCTTCCATAAAATGTTTAAAACAATTTTTTTCTTATGCAATGTATATACTTATTATAATTTTATAAATAAAATTAGTTTTTTTACTGTAAAAATAAAATTAATCTGTCAGTTTATGTTTTTAAGTTGTGTCACAACGCAAGGCAGTGGAAGGTCCTTTTATTAATAGTCCTATTATTAAGGTTCTAGCATAATTGTACGATTAACGAATCTATTGTTTTAAGAAGGAGGTAATATAAGATAGAAGATTATACATCTTGGAAATCGTAAACCACACTAAGATGAAAATAGAGTTCGGATGAAAATTATGTAATAATAATAATCAAAATGACGGAAAAAGAACTTAAAAGTCATCGATTTTTGGTTTGCGTTGAAGGTTATGTGTTATTCCTTGAAAATATGTATTTTCAAAGGAGAAAAGCGAGATCGGAATATCTTACTAATTACTATAAATTGTATTTGATTAAGTTATACACAGAAGTTGCGCAAATATGGGGGATTGGGGGTTGTAACCCCTCTCCACCGAAATATTAGTTAACTTAATCTTACTCGATTCTCTCTATCAAACGCCTTTTGAAATTTAATTATTTTCAAATGTATAATCTTCCCCCCTCAAAAAATAAATCCTGGTTGCACCATTGGTACACAGTACTACTTCCGATATGTTATGACGTACATAATAAACTTTAAATGAAAATGAATTTGTCCAAGGGGTGGTTAATAGCTCGGAAATTGTTGCTGACCCGATAACTGTAGTAGTGCGGAAACGTAAACAATAGAAAAACATTGGAGACACGTCAAAAATAAATTCAACATTGTTGAAACAAGCAGAGCCACTGAAAATAAATTCGTAACATTTTTCAAATACGTAAAATATATATATATATACGAGTACATTCCACGGCAATAATAAAAAAAAAAAAAAACAATTGAAGACACTTTTTGTTTGCAGGTAGCATATTTAAATCAAAGTAGAATTATGGCGGATAAGATACTTCTGGTAGATTTTGTTGTTGATTTTACTTCTTTGAGCAGCTGTATACCGTGGAAATTCACAAAAATGGTCAGGCATGATAGATTAGATCAGCGGTCCAAACTGGAGTACGCGAAAAAAAATTGGGTAATGGCAGAAAATATTGAATTTTTTTATTTAAAACGATTTTTATTGGAAATATGTAATATATGTTATCAAAAACCATCAATTTATCTTATAAAAATGGATCATAGAATGTAGATTACAGGCGTGTACAGAAAAATATATTTTAGGAGGGTTTTAGGTTGTAAATGTTCATACTTATATTACCTAAAAACCACTTTTAATCTATAAAAACATATTTAATAATTTTTCTGAATTTCGAGGAGGGGGTTTAACCTATCTCCCCCTCCATTGTATACGCATCTGGTAAATTATATATATATATATGTATATAAATCTATTACTATCTATTATTTATTATTTCATAAGAAAAATGATATAGATAATATTGAATATTTTATTTATTTAAAAAAATTAATTTTTTATTATTATATTATTATTATTGTAAATTTGTTATTATTTAGAGCTTATAAAATTATATGAATTTTTAATATTTGTATTTTTGAAATACTGTGTAAATTGAAAGTGCCATGCTAAAATGTTACTGTCGTAACTCAATAGTTTCATAAATAACACATTTTAAGATAATAATACATTGTCTATGAGTAGATAATATTTTATACCTAATAGTTGTATCGGAATCGGATAATATGTTACAGTTAAGATTATGGGATGATAAACTTCTTCCCTCACTATCCGGAAAAAAAATGATTGACCGCCTATAGGAATACCAATAGTTATATCATTTAAATGCAATGAGTATCTGCTTGGTGTACTAGAATTTATATCTGGTACTAGACAAAACCAAGCAATAGCAGGCTCTTGAAAATTGAGGTTTAACCGAAAACATACAAGCTTTATGTTGTGATGCAACCGCATCCATCATGAGTTGACTAAAAGGCATTTGTATATTATTAGAGCAACGGCTAGAACGTGATATACTATATTTACCATGTAGACATCATATACTTGAAGTTATATTGTGCTTCAGCTGCTGCTCTGGCACCAAATATGGACTTAAAATTTATTAAAGAGCTAATATTGTACGAGATCATTGATATATAAATTTCCAAATGAACATTAAAAAAAATGTGAAGTAATTTGTGATACTTAACACCAGAAATAACATCATTAGTATTTTTCGGTGACAATGTATCACTGAAAACAAAGGCAAAAATGGTTAAAGCAATGAAGACTTTTGATGTCAAGTCAGAATAAAAAAAACGAATAATTTTATAATCAAATAAAATATACAATTATGCTAATAAAGATATCGATAATTTTATATCAGTCCAATCTAGGAATTTTTTTTTAATAGATTTGGTATGATGTTGGACTTGTTAGATTTATATCCGAAATTGTGGAATGAAAATGTTATATAAAATCATATTCATAAAATCAAAATAATCAATATATAAAAGGAAAAGAATTAGTAAATAACTTAACTGTAGTTAATGATATTGCGGAGCAAGGCGTAAAATTAATTGAAGATTATAGCAAGTTAATAACTAAAAGCGAAGATCAGAAACAATATTTACTGCAAGTAGTGTGTGAGTATCGTCGATGATTCTCAGATTGTAAAAAACCACCTTGTTCAATATCTTTAAAATAACTGAAAGAAATCAACTATGTAAAAAAAATTATAATAATAATTGCTATCATATAATTTTTCTTATGAAATAACAAATAATAGATAATAATAATAATATATTTATGACATTATATAAACTGTATTATATTAAAACATGTATTATTAATGAAACTATTGAATTAACATAATAACATTTTAGATACATTACATTTTTTTACGTTAACCTGACTGTTACAATAAAACAGTCAATCCAATGAAATTTATGCTAATTAAATTTTTTAGGAAATCAAATTATTTATCAATTGAATATAAGATATTTTGTCGTATCATTAACTATTATTTTAATATATTTAAATAACTGTAAAAAATTGTATTTTTTAAATCATTAAAATATTCGATATTTTATAATTTTTCTTGGGAATTAATAGATTTATGAGAAATTGTATAAGTATATTTTTTTATTAAAAATATAAATATCTATAATATATGTCTTTTACTTTTTTATGATAATTGCAATATTTTTTTGAATATAGTCAAAAAAATGACAAAACAATCATTTTTCATTAATATTTAATCCTCTTGGGGCACGTGAAAGCGGTGAGTAATCATGACCAAATTTAACCAGAATTATTTTATTACAGTAATAAACAAAATGAAGGGGTGAGATATCAAAAATATTAAAAAAAAAATGTCTTCATCTATAGCTAAGGACCACCCTAATAATTATATTTAAATACCTATGTAGGATAAAATTTTACAGAAAATAGTGAAATCAACTATGCTATATGGTTCAGAGTGTTGGGGGGGGGGGGGGTCAACAGGAGAATAGAATAGAGTATGAGTATAGCGGATATGAGAATGCTTAGATGGATGAGTGGAGGGACAAGAGAAGATAGAATAAGGAAGGAATATGTGAGAGGTAATACTGGTGTAGCGTTTATAGTAGACAAGATGAGAGAAAATAGACTGAGATGATTTTGGCGTGTGATAAAACGAGAGGAAACAAATGCAGTAAGAGTTGTTATTAAAATGAACGTTGAAGGGAAAAGAGGAAGACCAAAAAAGTAATGGTTGGATACAATTGAGAATGATATGAGAGCTGTTGGTGTGTGCGTAAGGAATGTAGAAAATCAAGGCAAGTGAAAGTTTAGGACAAGGGTAACCGACCCAAAATAGTTGGAAAAAAGGCGAAGGAAGAAAAAGAAAATATTTGATACAAATTTTTACTACAAACACAATTTATGCAATAAACAATAACTATTATTAAAGTTTAATAATTACATTTATGCACATTGGGACTCGGTTATAAACAAATATAAATTAATATAATAAAATATTTAATAATATGCTGCTCTTATTGACAAATGTTTTTATTTGTCTGTGATATTATGGACGATAAGATACTCATTAGTATTTAGTCAGTTATATTTATATAAGCTAATTGTCAAATGGCTATATTATTTTATAGTTTATTTTTAAAAATTTTATACGTAGTAGACTTATTATGTGGATATTTTGGTGTCAGGGGTCCATCCAATAATCAAAAAATCAGGGGTAGCAGCTATTATCCTTGAACTCTCCAGTGTGTACCACTGATTATACATGGTATGAAATATTGTACATTATATATATAAAGGCATTGTAGAAAATATCCATATTGTATACTTTTTCAGTAACACATATATTTATAACTATTATTATATATAAGTACTATATAATATACTGTAATAGTGGATTAAATATTTTATTTCAACAAAGGAAATACATATAACTATCATATATGATTTGAGATTTAGGATACGTATGCGCATGTATATGTTTTGTAGCATATTAACATTTAATGTTTAAACAGAATGTAAAAGAAAACAATTTTTTTAATTATTTAGTGATAGATGAAAGAATTTTACACAGGAATTTCAATATATTACTGTGATTTAAAAAATAAATAAATTTATGACTAAGAATTTAAATTAATAATCTTAAATTTAGTGTACGGGATATCGTTTCTCGATCTAAAGTTCACGAATCACATTAAATTTATAATAAAAAAAAAGATCACGGCACGGAAAACGTATTTTGTAGTTATGAGTGATTTTCGATCGTAATAAATAATGCAATTAACTTATTTGGTTTTCAAAGATATGGAACACGATTATAACTATATTATAGAACTCGTTTTGTATGTAAGAGAATTGCATATTACCTGCTAAATTTTTCTTTTCGATTGTGTTTAGGCTGTCGATTAGTTCCTCTATTGGATCAAGATCAGGCCCTAGACTGTCCACCCAAATTCTTAACATTCTATAGCCGTGTTGTTTGTAACTGGACGGACCTGTAAACGAAATGCTAAAATCGTTAATTAGTTGTGTACCATTAAGTTAAATATTTTACATTGAATACATATTATAAAATAAATCAAATAAAGTTCGTTTTGTAATATTAGCGTACATCATTCAACATAATAATGTGGCCTTGTAAGCACTAAATACATTTCGGAGAATTTTATGGGAATATGTAATTATATGATTCGTATTATTAAACGGGAGTCGGAGAGCTAAAACAAGCTTTCTTTGCACTTCCGAATTCGTACCAATGTTATCGTAAATAATTTCGCGATATTGTTAAAGATATAAACGATAAACTAATTTTATTGCGTTAATGATGCGTCAGTGTGTTAGTGTTAGTTATGCGTTTGTTATGTGTAATATTTGTTCACGAGATATAATCTCGAGTTGGGTATTTATAATGCATTGAAACAATACAATATGCGTATAAACTTTAACATCGGTGATTTGGATAATATGTTACAAGCTTTATGTATCTCCTAGATCAGCCTTGACCGCCAAAATGAACACATCGTTTTTAGTTTTTGCATATTTATTAACTATTCAGCAAGTACTTAAAGGTCTTAAATTGAAAAATAATGATATTATTAAAAATAAAATAAATTACTTATTGAATCGCTATATTATACAGCATAATCGTCTTCTTCCCAAGCACGTCCAAATCTTTATGTGCTGATGTTTGGTGGGGTGTTAGGAAATAACGCGGGAAAATAACGGTTAAGGTGCTTGTGACTATATATTGCACGATTACTTTCGTATTTTGATGGGGGAAAAAATAAAGCTAAACGCCCATATAAAGCTTCCAATTTTTTTGACACTGGCTTAGAGTGAAATGCGCATAAAGTTTTTCGATTGTAAAAAACTAAATGACTTATTTTTTTAAAAAATAATAAATACATAAAATATAAATGGCTGCAAACAAAAATTCAAAGTTTTTCTTAACTCAGAAAAATTACCGAGAACATCGAAAAACGATATATTTCAAGTACCATCTGCGTCCAATTTTCGATCTAACAGTTGCTGTATGAAACTTTTAGTGCTAATTTACTATCCTAAAAATTGGCTACAAGAAAAGAAGAAATATAAAATATAATTGTAAAATCAATACATTTTTTCGCTACATAGAGAGTTTTGAAAGACATAATGATGTTGTGTTTGAGTGATGTTTTAGAGAAATAATCAGATGATTGTAAAATGTTCAAAACTAAAAATAAAAAAAAGATTGATTAACCTAACGATTATTATTTATGCATTATCAAAATTAACGGGAATATTATAAATAGTTAAAAAATCATACGACATATCACCTATATATTGGTGTTCGATCGCTTTGATTTGTTCGTCTGTGAATGCCCACAAGTGAGCCAATTTTTTCCATTCGCCAGGACTTAGTTGCTTATGGGCTAACTTTCGTAGTATCATTTCTAGATTTTGATCGGTCTCTTGTAGCGCTATCGAGACGTCCAGATCCGGATTACACTTCCATTTCCTTCGTTCTTCTGGCGTTTTCGGCCTAGTTCTTTTCTACGCGTGAACAAAAATTCAACCGTTAACAATAATCAACAAAGAGGGCAACGATCAAATAGTTTACAGTCTGTCAAACAATTGTACTTCGATATACCTTAGGTGTGTATTCTAATCGAGCGGTTTTTATGATCATATCCACTATGGCAGTGAAACTTCCTCTAGCTGCTATATATAGCGGTGTTTTACCTCCCTGTGATAAAAAAATATATGAATCCTATTTTACATATATTAATAATTTAATGTTATGATAATTGAGCTTTAAAAACATTAGTGTTATTTCTAATTTATTTAATACAATGTAAACAAAAATTTCAATGTATGACATAGTGCTTATTCTTAATCAGTCGAAATTAAGTTTGCGAACAATTTAATTGACATCGTACATTTTATGTAAATAATAGTATATTTAATTTAGCAGAAGGTATTGTGTGTGTAATATAATAATAATATTCTACAGTCACAAACTGCAAGTAGTGTTGTTAAACTTTTAGTTTTAAGGTCAAAATAATCGGAAATACATTTCCTTGATGGATATTTCAAATTTGATATCGGTGGTTTCTCACAATAAACGAAAAATACTATCGGTATTACGAAAAAGAAAAAAGAAAAAGAAAAATACCCGAAAGAAAAATTATCCAATAAAAACAAGTCTACATACTTCTTCGGTGTAGGTATGTCGAATTTCCCATAGCATATGATATAAATCAGGGGCGGCCAAATAGTCGATCGCGGACGATCTCAGAATCGATCATGTTAGAATTTATTTTTAGGCCACGTGCACGAAAATTAATCGTGGTGGTTATGAACAAATTGTCGATAAATTTTATCTGTATAGTTTTATCTTTTATTCTGGTTAATAAAAAAATTTTCCAAGTCGATCTTCAAATGTCAAGTATATTTTTAGTAGATCGTGACCGAAAAAAGTTTGGCCGCCTCTGATATAAATCACAATATATATTTATTATCTTATGGTTAATGCGTACTTAACTGTAGCTTGAAGATTTTTATGTGAACGTAGTTATTAATTCTCATTAATTTATTAAGTATTAACAATCATAACTATACATTTATGCTATTCGTATAAATTATATTGATTATTAATTAAGTACAGTCATATCACACACATAATTAATGGTATTAATTTTTTTGTGGTAGTATTTCAGATGGGATATTTTTCCTATTTCTATTTCCCATTAAATTTGATTTGTCATTTTATTTTTCGGACGGAACTTGAGAATAACAACAAACAAGGTTGTAAACTTGACTGTATTTGATTAATATTAATAATAAAACGTTTACATGTTTCAGCCGGTAAAATACGATTAAGAACGTTGTTTTTGGTAAGACGATTGAGAATGGTCGAGTTTTTTTTTCCAACGTTGTCAAATGTAATCAATCGATAATATGAGCACAATAATCTGTTGATATTTATCAAACTTTTATCGGATTAGCTGGATGTTAATAGTAACTTAGATACTAGATATGAGAGAATGACGGTTAGGCTTTACAGTCGTCGCATAAACTATTCGTCAATATATTTCATAATTTTATAAGTTCTACATAATATGTAATTATTTCATTTTTATACATATATACTTCATAATTTTATAAGTTACATTATACAGGTATTAGATATTTTTATAAGTCCTATATATTTTTAATTTTTATTTAAATGATTTGTTACATATTATTTTTTCAAGAATATTTATTGTACGTATACTGAATTTTCCAAAAGCCAAATCAATTATATGGCAAACTATGGCAACGTTGCACATAAATCCGTTCTCAATCGTATCGTTTTTTGAGTATTTTTTTGGGGTCAGCGCTAAGTTCTTTGTTAATTTTAAGTGTTCTCAATCGTTCGGCCAAAAAGGTATAATGTTCTCAATCGTTCGATAGCCGTTTCAGCGTTCGTATTAACCTGTTCACGTTGTTCGATGTTGGCCCCGGCACTAAGAAGTAGCTTACATATTTCTGAATATCCTTGTTCTGCTGCTATGTGAATAGGTGATTGCAACCTCTGGAACAAGTCACGCACACAAGAAAAAAAAAATCAAATAAAAAAGAAAATCATATATTATGTATTTCGTTTTCCAACCGACTCGATGTATGTATAAACGTACGACCGAGGTAGGTACGTCTCGTCGAGTAATATATTATTATTATTTGCTTTATTTGCTTACCGTGTTCAAGGCATTGAGATCTGCTCCCTTGGCAATCAGTATTTCGGCAATCACTACATTATTCGACAAACAAGCCATGTGTAGAGGTGTGTTTCCGTTCTGTCAATGTTCGGAACGTAGTTTATTTTAATAGTTGATCACACATGTTACTATGATTACGTAGGTACTTATTGATGCCTGTCATTTTATTTACCTTGCTTTGCCGGTCGATGTCGCAGTCGGCCGATAAAAGCATTTCCACTATTCCCCGGCATCCGTGGCTACTGGCTATGTGCAACGCGGTCAGTCCTTTCTAGATACACAGTCAACACACATTTAATTTTCAATTAACATCCCATATTTCAAAATGACGCGTACAAAAATGCATTTTTAATATACACAATGCAGAGATACGTTTGGCTGGTTATAGGTTGGTGTAACATTATGGTTCTATCGATTAGTTAATTGCATTTGGTGGTGTTCTGAATTTTCTACAATATTGTCAATTTAGTTTTTAATTTTTTCCAGATAGTAAAAATTATAATTTACATTTGTAATTGTTAAGATATTAATATATATGACCCCATGGTAGTCACTCATCATGATTATTTATTTATGAGTATTTAACGTTAAGATTAGGTTAGTTTAGACGAGTAGTGCACTAATATTTTGTGAAAATAGTGCTGCCTTACTGTTATTTGATACTCTAATCTACAAGTATTTAATAATACTCGAATTGGTCGATGATTTAACATTTTTGTTAAAAACCATAAAATATGTTTTAGTGATATGTCACTAGTTTAACGAAGATTTTCAATTTTCAAACATATTTGTAGTTAAACGCATAATGCAACTTTTAATGTAAGATGTAAACAATGTTTATAGGGATGTATTTTTACATTGCCAAGAAAACTAGTTTTTACATTATATAGCTCAAATAAGTACTAGCAGTAAATTGTGTTTATGAATATATATATTTAGTTTATATATTAACAGTAAAAGTACTAATTTAATGACGACAAACATACTAATAACTTTAATATAATATAGTGATGGGACTACAAAAAGCCCATGTATACTTTGATTATAATTAATTAATCTAAAACTTTATTAACATTTTTATTCCATGTTTGGAAATTTGTGTTAAATATTTGCCTTTTAAAATCAAAATTTGATAAAATTATCATAAAAAATAAAAAATGCCGTCTATCATTTTTGTGACATTTGTTATTTGAAATAATATATGTTGTTTTAAAATAATATTTTATTTGCCGTGAAATTTGAAGCCTAGAGGCTTTAATGTGACAAGCGTATCGACGTTTTATTCTTGTAACATGTATTGGATAGATGTTTTGATTTTGAAAAATATGAAAAATGTATTCGTTTTTCAATGAAGCGTTTTTTAAATTTATTATATATATATAATATAAACGCATTATTTTCGGTTGATGGAAAGTTACAAAAGCTTCACGTCTACTGATTTAAATTTTATCTAATTTCTACGTTAAATAAGTTATATTTAGATTAAGTTAGAAAATATTACTTATTATGTATTTTAATACTGTTATTTTATTTTAATATACATCAAAAACAGTTAAATAGTATTTAAGAGTTTCTATTTTTTATAATTTTTAAATTATGCGTAAGTTTAAGTGCAAATCTAGTTGTTTATTTTTTCGTCTTCCAGCAATTCTAAACTTAAATTATATTATATACATATCAAACATTTTGATGAATAAGTCTTATAAATGTTTTAAGTTTAATTTTCTGTGAATTAAAAAAAAAAAAAAAAAAAAATGTTTTAATCATGTTATTCAAATATTTATTTTGATAGAATTATTAGTTTTGATTGTTTAGATTTGAAAATATCATACGAGACAAACGCATACTCTTATTAGTAAATGCCGTATTTTTACACTACACACATATCTAAAATATTTCGTAAATCTTAGTAAATATATTTTAAAATATTTATATTCTGTAAAGATATATTTTTGAAAACAATAAATTTTTGTTTTTGATTTACGCTAAAGTGACTAATATACTTAAAATAATATCAATTTATGTGCACGGGACGTTTTAACAAATATTATGAATAAATTGTTCTTTGAAGATTATACTCGATTATAGAATTTGCTTATGCAATGGCGTATTTTCAATTTTTTTGTGTGAGGGGTAAGGTTTAACATTTTTCTAAAAAATAAGTGATTTTATAATACAAGTATTATAATAAATATATATGGGTATAAATTAATAATTATTATTTTATTATTTTTATTATTAATAATTATTATTATAAATACAAGCGAAGAGTTATTTATAATAAAAAAGTTAAACGTCTTTTTTTCCCCAGTTCATCAATAATTTTTTCAGTGGTTATTATATAGTTTCTTTTTCTTGATGACATCGTTAACTGTAACCTACCTTTTTTTTCTACAGGAGTTTGAGACCTGCAACCTCTACCCCTTCTGAAAATACGTCGCTGTACTTATTTATTATATTTTTTTGTTAAATAGTTTTATTATTTATTTTTTTGAACATAAAAACTAATAGAAAGAAGATTATGAATTAAATATTTAATTTTTAATTATTCGTTATACGAACTCGTAGGGTACCTATATTATTAAATTAAAAAAACAAAATGAATAAATGATTTTAATAACATTGTGATACATATGTGTATACATAAGCTAAATATTTATGATACAAAACATTGTAGAAGTACGTATTCGAGGAAATTGATGTTTAATAATTAATTAATAACCATATTTTTTCTATTCAACAAGACGCGTCTAGTGAATAGAAATATTCCCTTCGTAGATTATTTGGGAAATTAAATTGTTTTTATTTAAAAAAAAAATAGTAATTTATTAAGATTCGTTTAAGGTTTAATTTATTATTCCTTGCCGTTTCTTAAGATAATGATGAGAATAATTTCGCTTTTCGCTGCGGAAATAAAACGAAGTACCTATAATATGTACTAGAGTAGATATAGTATACAAGAAAACTCGAAAAACATTACATGACGGTTTACAACGAAATCACTGAGACGGATATACTCTTAAAAACTCAAGTGCGGTTTAGATGCTTTCCGTAGTTTATGTACATCGTATGATGTCTGAGAATATACGTGTACACCTAAGTCTAACAGTATTGGTTTATATTATTATATATTTTTTTTATTGTTGTTCCCATATCGCATTGAGTGTAGTATTGTGTAATGTATTTTGAATTTTTCATATTGACCCGTTTGGAAAAACAAATCATATTCAAATAGATGACAGAATAATTTAAAAAACGGTCCTCGGGGCAACACTCTTTGTTACGTCGCTGTACGAGAACGTCAACACAGAAAACCCATAGGATGATAGGTAACAATAACGTCGAGTTGTAGTTGAAGAAAAAAAAAATCCCTGTCGTAGTGCATATTATACGGTCCCGTAAAATACTATACGGTAGAAGAATTGTATATTTGTTTTATATTTAAGTACGGTGATATAATAATATATTTAAAATCGATATTTTAAGGTTAAGCAGAATACAATTTGTTGCGAATTTAGTTAGAAATATTGTGTTCAGGACAAAATGCGATGTATCGCAGAAAAGTGTATTTCAACAATCGATTCATTGTCGCGATGCTATTAAGATTAATTGTTCCAGTGGATAAATGGACTCGTACTATTATACCATTGAAATGTGTTGAAAGCGCCAAGAAAAAAATTACAATTATCTTACGCTATTCTCCAGGTTCGTCGGATTTCCTGCTTCTAATAACATTTGCACGACAAGCGTTTGTTTGTTTTCAACGGCTACGTGCAGAGGACTGTTTTGTTCTTCGTCCTTCGCCAACATATCGGCACCATGTCCGAGCAAAAAGTCAACCACGTCTACATGTCCTTTTTCGCACGCCGAGTGTAGTGGCGTTCTTCCTTGCTGCGTAAAATAAGAAATAAAATTAGATAAATGATTTTATTTAAAGAACATGGTGAATTGTGACGATGTGGTGTTATACGAAATATTCATCAATAAACTGTGACGATAAAAAATATCCAAATTATAAATAATTCATAGACATAGGGCAGGTACGAGTTTTTTGTAGGATAGGACACTTTGAAAGTGTTTGGGAAAACAGAAAATCGATTTTTTCTTTCATAATATTATGAAAAAAATCAATTTCTGAATATTTTTTTTCTAAATCAATTTCTAACATGTTCATTCTCTATTTATAATTTCAACGTGCAATAAATATATTTATTACAGAAACATTTATGTTTCATGTAGAATGCTTGTTTATGACGGTTGAGTGGTAAAAAGTTTTAATAGTTATAATGATAAAAACCAATTTGATATTAGTTAAGTAAAGGTATAAAAATGTAATATATTATGGTGGAAATCGATATTATTTATAAGCGTTGGGCAATAGTAATAATTAGGGAACGGATTTTAATTTGAATAAATATTTTTATGTAGTTTTAATATCGGAGAGTTATTGACATATGTATACGTTTCATTTCATTTTGAATGAACTCATGCTAATTTTATTTTAAATATTTTAGTAATAAATATACGTAATCTATATTATTGTAGAATTTCCGCTTTTATTTTGGTATTTTACGATGGACGAAAATATATGATTAAGTCTGTACAATATTTTATCTAGGACGTGAGTACAAATTTCAAAAAACTTGCAAAACAATTTATAACTTATTTCCGCTAATTTTGGAATTTTAGTTGATACTATTTCAAAATTAGAAAATTCTAAAATGGCATTAACCGAGAGCCTAGAAATAGTATATAATGCCATTAAGCAATTAGAACGCGTTCCTGGAGAAATTGGAGTTTTAACAAACTCTAAATTACAAAACATATTGGGAAAAACCCCAGGATTTAAGGTTGTAAAGTCGATAGAGAAATACTATAAAAAAAAACTCCATAAAACAATTTAGAAATACAGTCCAAAAGAATTAACCTGTTTGAAATATGCACCTGTCACTTTCGTTGATGTGGAGAAATAATTTAGCAGTTATAAAGCAATACTAAGATCGAATCGCCGTAATTTAAAATTTGAAAATATCAAATTATATGTCGTTTCTAATTGTTTCTCCCATGAAAAATATTTGGATGATTCAGAATAAACATTTTTATTTTCGAATTATGTATTATTTATAAACTATAGTGAATTATATCTTATTTTCAATTTCAATATTTCAATATTATAAATAAATATTTATGAAGTAATAAACAAATATATATTTAATTATTTTTAATTTTTTACTAAATTTAAATCCGTTCCCTAGTAATAGTATTAATACATAACTAAGAATAATCTTAAATTAAGGTTAAAAAAGTTAAAACGATGTTTTAATTGCCGAAAACTAAAAATAAAAACATTAAGAATGAGACTTATCGTACACTTAAATATTTGTTAAAAAACGTATGCAATTTTATAGTTTCTAGCTGTGTTATATATATTTTTTAAGAAAACGGCTAAAAATTAAATTTATGTAATACGTTATTGCTTTATGAATAACCATTAAGTGTTTTTGACTCGATACCGTACTAATACCGTATTTAAATATCAAAAACATATACAGGTACTTAAACTATTTAACTGTAGATAAACTAAAAATCATAAAATTAATTTCAAAGTGTTTATCGAACATAATAAATTATTGTAGTTTATGTAATATCATAAATCTGTTAAATCTTAACATTTTTATTTGTTTTAGCACTTTATATTTTTATATTTTCCTATATAAAATTGGCAAATTCGAAAAGTATTACAAGTGAACTTTGTTACCAATTACTAATGCATAAGCTATCATATACTCGTATAACTCAATACTACAATATTAAAACTGTACACTCAATCTATGTTGTATTATGATTTTTGTGATTTTCTAAGAGTTATTTTGTTTGTATAACACAAAAAAATAATATTTTAAGTGGACCCTACAGAATCAATAATAATGAGTCAATTAAATTATTAATTTATAATATTACTCAATATAGAGTTGAAAAATATTTATGTATTAGCCATGTCCTAATGTACGACTTATGCATATTTAATGGCGTCAGTATAGTAGCATTTACCAACAGTTATAAATTTTTATTATTTTAAAAATGTGTCTTAATGATATTGAATTATTTACGGTAGCTTTGGACTCAACCAATATTAGCCTGAAAAAAAGAAATAAATATATAAAAAAAAAAAGAAAGAAAAAGAAAACGTTGAATGAAAGAGTGGTATAAATAAAGAACACAATAAATTCATAGAAAAATATTGAACTTTTTACGAATTACTGAACCAGATAACTAAAAGAATTTTTTGCAAATGGATGCTACATATTTTGAGAATTTATTGAAATTTTATGAATTTACCTATAACATTATGATTTTGCGTATAAAACGTAATATTGTGTATAGTGCAAATAATGTCCAACCTTGTGTGATTTCTTCAATAAATTTTACAATCCTTTAATATATATTCTAAACTGTCAATAATATTGCGCAACATCAATTATTGTGCAATATTATTGATCGTGCAGGGTCTGCTATATGGAATTATGTATAAATGAATAACAATTTTGCGTGACAGTAAATGTGTATTAACTTCATGTTGCAGTTATTATGAGAACAAAACTTATTTTTATTTTTTAAAATAATCTTAGGTTGGAATTTAAATTACTTAATATCTTGTTAAAATATTAGTCAATAACTCCAGAAGTCTTTTACATAAAGAAAAAGTGAAAAAAAATTCGAAAGTTTAAGCTAAAAAATAAAATAAATAAAACTATATCTAAGCTTATACATATATATAAAAGTTAAATAAAATAGTCATAAAATCTTTTAGTACTTAAAAAGTTGATGAGAGCAGTATAATATTTCACAAAATTCGAAAATTAAATAAACGTGATGTTTACGGAGTCAAAAAAAAAAAAAAAAAAACAGTTTTTTGATAGGGCCTAAAATTTAAATTATACATAAAGTGTTTTCGACGTGTAATATGTAATAATGTAAAAAGTTTATTCGTTGAATTACCAGGACTGGCCGACTTGGGGATTAAGCGCATACATGTAGTTCAGAATAAAATTAAGTAAACCGTAGCCTAAGGGAAGAGAGTATCGTTTCAAACATACGATGAACAACCGATATAGTGCTCATATTATAAATCAATGTTTACGAAACAATTATACAAAACTTTAAAAGTAATTAATATATTACTTGAAAATTTAAGAATATTGAATTAAATTTGTGTTTTATTCTTTCAACAGCGATGGTGACACATTTGCTTACAACGTTCGACTATCCGTCTATCGCCAATTGATAGATTCATTGTGATCTTAATGTTAGGTATTGCTGATCGATATTGTACAAAAATGCTAGTCGTTTTTATCATAAAAGCATACCTGTAATATCATGCAAGCGAGGGGTGGATGAAGAAAGAAATAACAGAGGAAGGGATTTTTAAAAGGCACGCATTTGAGATGACAAGTCCTCGGTTTGCACCACGATTTAAAATATATTTTAATTTTTTAATCTATTTAATTAATTTTAAGTATATTTTAAGCCGTGGTTGGTACATCTAAAGTTACCAAAATGTCTTGAATTCCAAAGGTTTCTTTTTTGAGAATGGGGAAGATAAGAGGGGTAATTTTCCCCTTTGGATCCATTTCGGGTGTAAGCGTAAGGCGAGTGAAGGTTATAAAAAACGTTTTGTACTGCCTAACCTTAACCGTATTATATGGTAATGGAAATGGTAATTAAATACACAATTATATCATAACTAACGGAATATGTACAATATTATTTAAAACTACACATATGACCTTTATGCACACCTATAAAGATGTTATCTAATTTTTTTTCCATACAAATGTTAATGACAATTTTTCATTATTGACTAGTTGATTAGTAACTATGTGTGTGATACAAGTAATAATTATACCAAATTATACAAGTAACTTTTTAAAAGGTTATTGTTATAATTGTTTTTTCTTTTTGGTTAAATATTCGTTTTAGATTATTTTTAATATTAAATAACAGTTTTTCAACAGTACGAAAATGTATATTATGAAAATACAAAATAATTAATTTTAGATGCAATTCGAAAAAAAAAAGTACATCGTTTATATTTTGTGTCTTTCATTTTAAATTATTCATGTAAAAAATTAGTCCATAATGGTCTACTTAATCCGGGCCACGAAACCTGAACAACTTTTAATTAAAGCAATTTAAATTTGGTTTAGGATTTTTTTATTTTACTTATATACATATGTATATTCCAACCTAAATTTGTGATTTTTATCACCGAAATTTTGCGATTTTGAATAGTATATCATCCGAGTATTATAAGATTGAAAAAGGAAGAAAACATGTATAATACAGAATACAAATTCAATTCCCGTATGCATTATAACCTACTATTTTGTGATTGATAACATTTACTCAAATGTATAGAAATATTCAAGTTAAATGGTGTTTTCCAAAATTGTTACGATTATCAATAAATATATTTATACATAGATATTAGAGTTATAATATATTATAACTATTTATTATATTATTTACTATTATATTATAGTAATATTATGCAGATTGGTTGGAAAAAAGTTTTAAAATTTATGTAGTTTAATTAATAATAGTTAAAAAAAGTTGTATTATATAGTAATACATTTTTCGGTATTTAAAGAGGATTCTTATTTTTTGTTAAGTTATGTCAAATTGTTGACATATTTTCAATTTAGCTGATAAGTATAAAATGTAATCGTAATACTTATACAATCCACTCGCGGAATAACGAAGTTCAATTTAATAAAAATCTTGATACAACGAATAAAACTGTCGTTTCCTTTATAATTTTATGATATAACGTAAAATTAAATGTATTTTTATTCCCTCTATATAACGAAGCTTTTTTGATCAAAGTTCTC